TAGCCAAATGAGGTCTATACTTTATAGAGTTAATAAGAAAATAAAAACATAGCCATTGATCAGATAAAAATTTTACCCCCACATGATGACCAATCATGCTGCAAATGAGATGTAAACATTCCAATCAAACACCCTGGTTCTTGGAAAGTAAAACACGCAGGTGATGACACAGATGATGCTATCTTACCTGAAGCTGAAAACAGGCATTAAAACGCAAAGGCATCGTTAGAACTAACTCAGCCTCGTTAATTTAGTCCTCACAGGGAACAACTTTATTTTGATACACAGAACGCAATTGGTCATTTAAAAAATTGTCAAGCAAACTTTCAGAATTACAATAATAGGTGGGAGAACTCATTGTCTGAATTTTCCTTTGTACTAGATAGCCAACCTAGAAAGCATTAAATGATTGGCTTCATCCTGGCTATTACAGTGGCTATTAATCTCCTCATCAAGCCATCTGGAACGAAATCTGATCTCCTACTTCGGTGATGATGGCAGCGATGATGGTGTAAAGACTCAGAAAGCAAGGGACAGCACAAGTGAGGAACAAAACCCAAGGTTGACCTCTGGCCTCTGTGCACATGCACTCACACCCCCATCAATATTCTGTGTGCACACACACATAAACACACGGTACACACAGAGAGAGGTGCGCACTCTCACACATGTAAACACAGTATACACACAGAGAGATGCACACACACATAAACACAGGATATACACAGATACACACACACACACACCACACCACACCATATAATCCAGCTCCAAAAATATTTCATGACTTTTTAGACTAAGATGCTTTTTATTTTTAAAAGATACTCCTCTTTCTTTAAGAACATCCTGCATTCTAAATACCTAGTTTTATGGATCCTTCCTAAAGCCTAGTATCCAGAGAAAAGCACTTCATAACCGTTGACTGGGGTGTGGTCATGTTCCCAGGTGCAATTGCATCTGGAATTCCCCCACTGACACAGAGCAGTTCTGATGATAGGCTTTGCGACGGGAGTGACCAGCATAAAGCCTTGGAACATTACTTGCATGAGAAATGTTTGCCCTTCCTTTCTACGTAGAAAATTACATGGCTTACAAACGAAAAGGCCAGTGCTTGATATCCCTTCAATTACAAACAAAAGTCGTATAATTAGGTTTGAACTTGGCATCTGGAACATACGCCTAGGAAGAAGGTAACTGCTTTACTCAATAATTTTTATGAGCATTATTTGAGGAAGAAGTACTCATTAATAGGTGGGTTCTGGATGTACCAATGACTCCAAAACTAACTTCAAAAAGACAAGTCATAGAGAAGGGGGAAAATCCTTACTCTGTAGCTATTACTTTCAATAAAATATTAAATACAGAATATAAGGGAATAGCATATTTGAATATTGCAGTGAGCCCAGGTAATAATGCTGATTAAAATCACCAGGTAGTCTGGGAACAAGCCTTAAAAGAAAACATAAGGCCAAGAAAAGTTTCTGGTATTTGCTAAAACTAGGTAAGAATGACATATTTTATATTGTACTATTTTTTTGGAGTTTACATTAGAACTTATGATGCATACAAAAGACATTGCCTGTCATTTATTTTTGTCAACAAAATGACTGGATTCAGTGCATGACTAGATTCAATTTCTACCATGCATTTTAGCACATAACATTAGCACATTTCCCACCCGCTCGCTGAGAGGTGGCTTTTACACAGACAATGGGCTTTGGAAGGGAGTTTGGATGCCTTAAGCTGAGACAAAGAGGAGCTGGTTTCTGGGGCAATGTCTGCCATGGCGTTGCCATTCTGTCACGCCACAGCAACACAGCAGTGTGCGGTTAATAAAGTGGTTCTAACATAATCTGAAAAGTAAATGCATGTTTCCCTATATTGGGAATAAAGTAAGACTTGGGAAAAAATAAGCCAAAACTCATAATTCAGACTGTCTAAGGTTGAATCAGATACTACAAGACTAAAACTCTTTCAGTTGCACTAAAGTCCACTCCTTCCATGCTGTGGGTACATTTCCGACCGCAACCATGCTTATTTTATGGTATCTAATACACTCCAGGAGCTGCTCTTTCCCCATTGCCCCCTTGGCCTGACATTTCACTGCGTTCCCCCAAATTAGCACAGATATGTTGGAGCCACCATCACATTGTGTGAAACCTTTCCTTCCATAAATACGATTTAGTATAAAATAAGGGCACCCAGGAAAGAGGAGAAAACCTGACTCCTGGCTGGGGCCCACAGAAACTAACTCAGTTAGAAAATCCACATTTCTCTGGGCTATTTTGCTCCCTCAACAGCAGGTGCCTCTAATCCCTTTTTCTAGTGTTCTACTGTTGTCCTGACAACTGGTTCAGCCAGTTCCCTTGTTAAGTGGGAGTCTCTGAGGCAAGCCCGCCAGCCAAGCCACATCAGAAGAGAATGCCTGGCCCACATATGCTCTGAAAAGGTGACTTTCCCAGGCAAGGGATTTCTCCAGCTCTCTGGGAGCCAGAGCTGTTCTTGCCAGCTTTGACCATGCAGCCATGCTACTTGATAGAACTTGACAAGCTGCGTCATTTAGCACTTCTTCCGAAGCACCCATTCACAGGCATTTCCCTGGACAGCGAAGGTGACAAGGTTTAGGCTCACAGTCACACATGCTGAGATCTTTCAGGGAGGCCTGAACCTCAGTGATGGGATCCAGACTGAGGGTTTGGCTACTGTGGCTATTATCAATAATGCTACCTGGACAGAGAGCCAGAGGGTACCACAGAGGCATCCATCAGGCATTGCGTGAGTATTGCTAGATAACACATCTACCCAGAGACCTGGCATTGCAGATGTCCTGACTCTAAAAAGCAAAGGTCAGTGGGAGGGCAGGGATGTGAAGGTTATGGGCAAAGATTCCTGGGGCTGCCCTGGATTTGGGACATTTGTTAGTTGAGCTGAGATCTGTGAAGAGGAAAAGAAACACTTTGAAATCTCTTTGAAATAAATTCCATGCCTGACTAATGAGGGAAATTTCAGCTCTTTGGAAATTATTACCAACACTTCTGCATATCAGGAACACCGCACCCACACTCTCCAAGCAAAAGGCCTCTTTCACTCTCCCTTCCTCGTCACAGATGTACCTAACATCTGCTGCATCTGTGCTTTCCACATCTTGACTCTATTTAGATGAGAGGCTGAAGGAAGAAGAGCTGGAGACTGTCTAAAGACACCTTGTAACAGAACAAAACCAAGACTCAGATTCTGTTGTCTTGTCTCCAAGTTTCAGGAATTTGTCTCTATCTATAGTGCTTTGTATCAGGCCAAACTACAATTTAAGGTAAATCACCCACTGTGGGATACCAATTCTTTACATCTATACTGATCTAAGAGACTGGATAGTCACTTGGTTGCAGTCATAATAACAGTTGTCAGCTCAAGAAGGTGTTTTGATGAAGTGCAGAATCATGTTAGATGTTCTAAAGGCAGAATTATTTTTAAAGAAATTGTTTTTTAGATCCTCAGCTTTCCTGCATGTGTATATACACATGCATTAGGAGAACATATATGCACACACATCCTTTCCGCAAGTAAACATGCCTGAGCATGCCTTTGAACTTGAGCTACCAAGATAGTTCTTCTACCCAAAATTCCCCCTTAAAAACAATTTCTACCATTCAACCACACAGTTCACATCAACCCTTCACCCTTAGCAGGAAGAACTAAGATGCATTACAATACATTGTAAAACTGCCTGAGAAAACAGACTGGGAGATAATCCCAGATGTGGTGGTGGCGATGACCCGCTAGCTCTTGCAGAACCCTTTGGAAATAAAGTGGTTTTGAGCAGGTCAACTAAACTAGGCAGTGTATAAGACTCATCAGCTAATAAACCACTGTGAGATGATTTCAAGGATAGATTACTTTGAAGAATTAGTTCATATAAAACAGATATGTTTAAAGAATTACCTAGGCATGGTGGCACAAGCCTGTACTCCTAGCTACTCAGGAAACCGAGGTTTGAGCATAAGTAGAAGGACCATCTAAGCAACTTAGTGGGACACTGTCTCAAAAGAAAAGGTAAACAGATCTGGAGATACTGCTCTGGGCTAAACGCTTGTCTAGCGGGCACAGGGCCTGGTGTCAGTCTTCAGTGATGAGAAGAGAATCTAATGACCCTTCCAAGAGAAAGGTCCAGGGATGCTGTCCACACCCTAATGCAGACTAGTTCTTAGAACACAGACAGGGAAGGGATGAAGGCAAACAAAGCACAGTGCAAACCTTGTTCATTCTAATAGGCTTATCCAAAATGAGTTTCGGAAAACTCCATCTATCTTTAGCAACACATTTCTGGTCAACTTTTGCTTTCTACACTTGCTTCTTTCACGTTCCCATCTCCATATTTGGATATTGTCTGCTAATTGTGCCGCTCTTTATAATTATAAAGCCAGTCCAATCAGTTGGTTCATCAGTAGAAACAAGGTACTAGAGTTCAGGGAAAGACAGAATGCGAACAAATTCCAACTCGTAAAGCAGTTAGTCCTCTGTTGTTTTCTAATGAAGGACAGTGAGCATCAAGTGGCAGAGACATTCAGATTCCAGTTGCCCACCCTTAAAATGATATACTTTCATTTGAAGCTTTCAGCATTTATAATATGTGAGAGTTTGCCCTTTGCAAGCGTGTGATCGTACAAGGAAAGATTTTAGCTGTTAGTCACTTTAGAAAGAACGGAGGAAGCACATCTTTCATTTCAAATACTGTTAGGATTCCATGACTAAAAACTGTGATGGACAGCTGCAAGAGAACGCAAGCAGTCAGCACACGCACTGAGAGATGGTTGGGGTACAGAGAGATGTTACCAAATTCAGGAGAATTAAAGTAACTTCCTAAAATGATACTAGATGATTCAAAATCATCTTTAGGTGTTGAAGAAAAGCCAGCAGTGGCAGAACAGGACCGCGTTCACTTGCTGTCCTAACACTGCAATGCAATGTTAGCCTTTCAGGCTTGGAGGCAGGCAGAAACCAGGATGAGGGTGTCTTCACTGCGGAGTGAAAATTACCTGGCAAATCTCTACTTGATTTATAAGCAGGACCCAGCTAAGACTCACTCTCACTGCTTTCAAGTTCAATTAGACAACTGGTTGATTATAGCTCTGAAGCGCTCAGCTCCGCTTGTCTTCACCAAAGGTGGGTGGGGACGCGGGGCAATGATGCCACTGTGGCTGTTAGGCCTGAGCCGGTGTCAGGAAGGGAAGAGGGTAACGTCCAAGGGAAGAGCAAAGGGAGAAAGGGAGAAGACAAGAGACGAGTGTGAGGCTCAAGATGGGAACAGAAACTTCCAAGTATGGGGGGGTGATTACATGTGTGGTGATGTGTGTGTGTTCATGGATGTGTGTGAGGACTACATGTGTGTGTGCAGGGATAACACATGTGTGGGTTTGTGGGGTTACATGTGTACACATGTGTGTTCACATGTATGTGTTTGTGTGAGAGGTTATAGTGTGCATGTGTGTGCAGGGATAGCACGTGTGTGGGTTTGTGGGGGTTACATGTGTACACGTGTGTTCACATGTATGTGTTTGTGTGAGAAGTTACAGTGTGTGTGTGTGTGTGTGAGAGAGAGAGAGAGAGAGAGAGAGACAGAGACAGAGACAGAGACAGAGAACACGGAAGTTAGAGGACAACTCCAGGTGCTGTTTCTTTGATGCCTGCTACTTTTTAAGAGACAAAATCTTTCCCTGGCCTGGAATCCACATGTAACTAGACTAGCTGACCAATAAGCTTCTAGGGCTCCATCTGTCTCTAGTACCCACGCCACCACCCACAGAATCACAAACCTACATCACCACACCTGACTTGTAACACTGACTTTGACATGGAATTGAACACAGATTCTCATACTTGGGAGACAAGAGACTTAGACACAGCCATCTCCCCCAGATTTTCTAGGTAATAATCTCACATACTGAGGTCACTGATCTCATATTACCAAGGTGGGAATTGGGTGTGAGATTTGGTGTACAGTCCTCACAATGGAGAGTGGTTCTTAGATACCCCAATTCCCCAGCCACCAAAATGAACAAATAGCTACTGTGAGCTCTAAGGCAGCCACTAGACAGATGCCTGCAGTATTCACTGACACGGGCCCTTACCCGTGGGCCCTTACCACAGTAATCACTGAGTACAAAAAGCAAATTGTGTGTATACTTTCTTCTGATGGAAACAACTATTGTTGTATAATTATGTGTTTGGAAACAAAACCAAAGGGAAATTGTTGCTTTCTGAATAGGAAGATTCTGCTTGATTTTTCCTTATACCTTCCAGAATGATCTGCTTTGCTAACAAAAAGCTCTAACCTTGAGTCAAGATCATGTGACAAAATAGACCATTCTCTGCAGCTAAACCATGGCGTCTTCTACTAAATCCTATCTTCCGCCACAGGCCTGGACTCTCCCTAATGTCTAACGAGCCCCGTAAGCAGGAGAACGGGAGTGAAGAGGACACTCAGTGCCCCCACTGGCGGATTTCCAACCTCTGCTGCTGCCGTTCTGGACTCTGCCATCCCAAGCCCCACTGTGCTCTCTTCTGCCTGCACGCTCTCCTGCCTGTCAGAATCTGCTCTGTGTCCATGTCAGCTGTCCCCCTCTCCCAGTTCCTGAGTTCCTCTTCTAGCTGGAGTTGACAGCAGCTTACCACACCTTAAAGTCTCCATAGCCCTCATAGATTGCCGAGTTCTGGACAAAACACCAAAGAACTCCTCATTCTGTTCTTCCTTGTGCCCGCGTGTCCACGGACTCTTCATCAGCTATGGATAGTTGTTGTCTTTCTCTTTGTCCTGCGTGTGTGTGTGTGTGTGTGTGTGTGTGTGTGTGTGTTTACTAGAAACTGAACCTGTGGTCCTGAAGATGTCAGACAAATACTCTAACACTGGGATATAGTCCCATTCTTATTTCTAAGTTTTTGAACTCAAACATTTTCCAATTCAAGAATGCCAAAAAGGCCTACCTCTTTCTTTTAGTTTCATGTCTCCTACATCATAGACCTCTAGTGACTGCTGCAATATGCTTAGAACTTCTATGCCCTGCTCACCACAAAAGCTGGGGCACAATGATATGTGAAACTAAGCCAATTATTCTTCATAATGTTTTCCTATTTTTACTGTATTCTTTCATTGTTTTATAAATGTATTTGTTGATACAGTCCTCATTTACTTGTATCATAAGAAGTTGGCCTCCAACTCACTATGTAGGCTGGGTGAACTTGAACTTCCAATCCTCCTGTATTATCCATTGCCTGAGCACATGGGTTACAAGTGTGACCAGCACACTCAGTTTCCTATGGTGCTAGGCTAGCACTCAAATGACTGAGTTATATCCCCAAAACAGTAGCATATATTATATGAAATGTATGTATGCATCATTATAACATAGTATGCCATATATACACCGTGTATGTTGATTTTTCCATTCCAGATAGATGTTGGCTCTCATAATCGAGTATCTGTTTTATCTGCACATTTCACACTGGTTTTGGTTTTCTTTTACGATGTCACAGACAGAAACCAGGGCATCAAAAGCACACAGAGTAGGCACTGTTCCCCTGAGCTGCCTCCCCAGACTGCCTGCCCTTCCAATTCGTCCATCTCCACTTTCTTTCCTCGTATCTCTAGCTACTCTATTGTTTATTTCTCACCACTCATCCTCACCTTCCTACCATTCTTCCTCCACAATACCCTTCTCCTGTCCTTATTGACTGTATATTTGGTCTTGGTTTTACTACAACAACAACAAAACCTCCCATCTAATTAACCTGTGAACTGGCCAAGTCTCGTTTACCTGACAACTTGTTGAAATTCTAATCCACCATTGCAACTTCCCCTCCTCAGTAACATTTTGCTGACTCTTGCAAACTGACATACACCGTGTACAGAAGTCAACAATGACCTCCTGCCTCAAGAGCCCAAGATCTTCCCAGTTCCCATTCTCCTTGACTTCCATCCGACCCAAGGTCATTAAACATCTCTGCTTTGCCTAGCTTCTCCTCACCCTGCTTCCTTTCTGTTCCTCCGTGAGCCCCTCCCCTCCTCCTTCTGCTCTTAGCACTGCCTTTGTATTCCTTGCACCAAAATAAAAAGAGATGCATTCAGCACAGGTTCTGATCTCTGCCTTCCTTCCTTCATCTTTTCTGACACAGGACCTCACATAGCCCCACTAGCCTCCCACGACCTGGAACAATAGTTCACAGTTACAACTGTGCTCTTCTGTTTTCTTAAACCATGTCATTTTACATTTCATATTTCCTTCAACTCTGAATAATAATACTCTTTGTACAAATCGCAGTTTCCTATTTTTTATTTGTCTTTGTTAGGGTTTCTGGTGAAGCTAGTTTCCTAACTTGGAGACACAAGTGTGTGTGACTCTTTGTTTGACTGAGCGTGTGTGTGTGTATACATTCACTCATGCAAGCATATATGGAAATCAGGTGTCAACATACTTATTTTTCAAGATAGAGTCTCTCACAGTAGCTGTAGTTCTCCCTTTTGGCTAGACTGGATGGTCTACAAGCCCAGGAATCTACTCCCACCACCCTAGGACTGGTGTTAAAAGTCTTTGTCACTGTGTCTAGCTTTTACAGAAAGTATGGGGACTCTGAACTTAGGGCCTCATCCTTGCACAGAAAGCATTTTACCTGCTGAGCCATCTCCTCAGCTCAGGAGCTTTCTTTTTGTGTTCTTATAAAGCTCAGAAGACTTTTAAAGATAAGAAAGCAGCTCTGCATTGCTTATCTTCTACTACCAATTGTATTTTACATTACTGATTGCATATACAATTTTAAATGATGAAAGAATATCATAATATTATAATTCTGTGTCCTATAAATTATACAAATGTATGCTAATGTCTTGCCCTCTGTTACAGGTGGTACTGGGAGTGAACAGTGAATTTATCGTTGAGGTAATGTATGCATGACTTAAATGAAAAGAAATTGGATGTTAAGATGCACCTATGTATTGAAATATTAGCAACTATAGTGATCTTGACAAAAGGTAAAAGATAGAACCTGAGTTGGCCTGAAATAACAGTAGGAAGGCCCTAGATCCTGACGACTATGCATATAAGACATGGTTTCCAGAGCCTGAGGTCGTTGCACCTCCACTCATTCAACTATATTAGCAGCTTATTTGTAGACTTCTCAACCTACATCAAAGCAAGCGAAGCCCTTGAAGAAGGAAGAGGGATGTCAGTGAGAAGGTACCACTGATGCCCTGTAAATGAAAGAAAGTTGCAAAGTTAAAAATTCCTAAATTGCAACTCAACAGACTGGCAGAGAATCTACTTCCATTCAGAGTGGGGCAGAAATCAGCCTAAGGGCCTGTACCTCCTGAACCCATCACCATCAAGAAATCTTCACCGGGATTATCTCAAGTCACTGGAGAAAGTAAAGTCATGTCTAAGGGACATTGACAAAAAATAGATACATGGGACATTCCAGACAATGGAATTAAAATGGGGGAGGTACAAACTCATTTGTTCTTGAAATGATAAACTACACTCCATTCTTGTGGGCATCTGCTTTCTCCAAGAGCAGCATTCAAAGCCTTAAATAAACACGATCATCTATGATCCAATAAGGACATTAAGACTTATAGAAATAAATACGCATTTCATGCTTTTACACATGGTTATATGTGTGTTCATGGTTGATGTAGAATTGTTGGACTCTTTGGCACTGTCAAATTCTTGGCGAATCTATAGACAACAGCAACATAAATTCATGAAAGGCCAAACATCCAGCAAGATACAGCCAACATATTCAGGAAATGACAGAGCTGCACATAGGATGGCCACCAGAGCTGTGAATGCTCCTTAGAAGCTTTCTAATGTGCAATACCACCCACGGATCTCAACTACAGCAAACTGCTTATCAGCAGAAGAGAAGAATCCCTTCCTTTGTTTTATATGGAACACATTCACGTGGAGCAGTGACAGGGATGGGAAAACCCAGTCAGAGACCACGGAAGGGTGGACCGGGCAAGGTCTTTACCTAGGGAGGGAGGTGCACTGAAGAAGAGAGGCGCCACATGGCACAGCACAGCTGCAGAACACCAAGCACAGCTAAGGAGACCTGTTCCCATAGGATCTTCTAGAAACATGAGACCGTTCTATGTCTAACACCGGCAGGGGAGGGAAGGTTTATGTCCAGAATTATCCATGAGAGAATCGCTTTTTTTGATCCTCAATTTAGCATTTCCTCTGGACACATCTTACAATGTCAATAAGTTGCCTAAGCACAAGGTACCCAAACACTATGAGAAACATCCATCGTTTTTGCTTTAGGTGAAAGAACTAGACGTTGAAAACGGCACCACAACCTGGCAGACCGTCAGAAGACAAAAGCGGGAGTGGATCAAGTTTGCCGCCGCCTGTCGGGAGGGAGAGGACAACTCCAAGAGGAACCCAATTGCCAGAGTGAGTGATGGAGCAAGCAGAGGTAGCCAGAGCTCCTAGAGGAAGTGTGGCCCTGCTTCTTCCTTGGGATTGTTGGCTGCACTGGTCCACATGGGTGGAGGGAGCAGAAGCTGGAAACAGGGCTCAGACAGCTTTGGGTAGGAGACAGCTCTCATGGAGACAGCTTCGGGGAATCTGCTCAACTTTATTCCAGAGTATAAGGAGTATAGGTTAGGGAGTCCTTGGGATAAACCCTAATTTGCATCAAGTGGCAAGATCCTAAGGGAAGACTTTCTATGTGACAGCGGGGTCCTAAAGCAAAGCTCCTAGCACAAGTCTTAGTTCCCAGAATCCAGCAGGGGAGGCCTCTAGCAGGAAACTGGGCCAAGGGTCACCCTAGAGATAATTCAGGCTTCCAGGCTTAGAGACTGCTCTCAGATAAGGTCAGTCCTCCCTGCCCCCGGGACATTTTCCAGATAAGGGCAGGTAGAGAGCTGGAAGTTTCACCAAGGGTCAGGAGGGGGAGTCCCCATGTCCCCAAGCTTTAAAAAAAGCTGCCAGGCCATCCACTGCAATCACTGACCAGCCAGAGGGGCCTCTTAACACGGAAGTTTGAAAGCTCTGGAAAGTTTCAAGGATTTGCAGCTTCTGCCGCCCAAAGAGATTTAAAGGAATGGTACACTGTCGTTGACTTATGTTGCTCAGACGTTATTTTTTTTTAATGTGTGTGGAATGCGGAATGCTTGCAGATGCACTCATGTGTATGGGTACACATGCATAGGTGTGAATGTGTTTATGGAGGCCATTAGATGACCTCAGCTGTATCCTCAGTGGTCTTCAGCTTGTTCTCAGTGACCTGGAGCTCACCAATTAGGCTAGGCTGGGTGGCCAGTGAACCTTGGAAATCAACCTGTCTCCAGTTGCTGTGCACCAGAATTACAAGTACATGTCACTATGCCCAAACTTCTTCAATGTGAGTTCTGGGGATCAAACGCTAGTCCTCATGCTTAACAGGCAAGCACTTTACTGACTGGGACATATTCCCAACCCAGAACACTCTTAACTATCCCAAGATGGGGACTGACACACAACAGAAGGTCCGTGGTAAGCCAGTCTAAAAGATAGACGTGGCTCTCCACCATGAGTGGATAGAGTCCATCTACTGGGTTCTGTGTTCCCTCTATAAGTCACAGGTTTATCAGAGTGGGAGACCTACTCCCAATGTCAAGGGTTTTTCATACTGGTTAGTTTTAGAAATAAAAAAGGCAAATTTGATGCAACTCAAATCTCTAAGCCCTAATCTCTTTTTACAGAGAAATTTTAATTACATTTGTGTGTGTATGTGAGAGAGAGAAAGAGAGAAATTGAATATGTGTGTGTGTGTGAGTGTGTGTTAGAAAAGGGTATTCATGAGAAAAAGTGTAGATGAGTATTGTGAAAGTAGGTGCATATTTGGGGAAAGTGTGTGAGGGAAAAAGAGGGGGAAGAGAGAGGGGGGAGCTGTAGGAAGATATGTGCCTTCTTAGTCCATGAAAGCTGGAGACCTCTTATTTCTGAATGTCTTGACCCTGGACCTTCACCGAATTCAAGGAGGAGGGTCCGGCAAATCCCTTCTTTATAGCATTAGAACACAGAGCAAGTGTTAGCAGGGATATTGCGCTGTGTTCAAAGAGAGGCATTTTCTCACTGACGTCCAGAGCTGAGGAAAACTTTCCTGATATTACTCCCATTTGATTCATCGCTAATTACAGAGTTGTTATGTAACTCATATTTAAAAATTCAGCTTTCTTTGCTTTGGGGGAATTCCTAGGTCTCCTCCTATTAAACAAGATCTTTAGAGTTAAACTAAGCAAACTTAGTTTATTCCCAGTAGACTTGAGTCATAGTGTTTTGGCAACAAATCTTAGTATTCTCATCTGCAGTATACAGGTAAGATTCCAAAACATAAAGAGTCTAAATTTATAATCAATAGAAATTAAACTAGTAAAGCAAAATCCGTATGGCATATTATTAGCTATGCTATCTGTTGGCATAAAAGTGACAAAGTAGATTTGTAGATATGATATTTTTGTTGCCTCCAAACACCACATTTTTTCTTCCAATGTTCCTCATTTACGTATCATTTTAAGTCTCAAACTCAAATATAACCAAAGTAATATTAATATAAACCAATTTTTAAAAAATTATCAAAGAGATGCTGGGGATGTTGGTCACTTGGTAGAGTACCTGCCTAGCATACATAAATTTCTGGGTTCCATTCCCAGAACCTCATAACACTAGGCATAGTAGTACCTCATGCTTGTGATTCCAGCTCTGGAAGGTGTAGAGGCAGAAGCATCAGAATTCAAGGTCATCCTCAACAAGACTGAGGCTCACCTAGGCTATATCAGACCCTGTGTCAAATATAAAAGCAGGAGAAGCAGGCTGGAGAGATGATTCAGGGATTACTAGTGTGTATTGCTCTCGCAGAGGACCAGGATTCAATTCTCAACACCCATTTCCGGTGGCTTGCACTTCCCTCTAATTCCAGCTCCAAGAAGTCCTGATGCATATGGCTTCCAAGGGCATCTGCACTTGTACACACACACACACACACACACACAAGCACACTTGCTCACATGCGCACACACTTACTTAAAAAAATAAAACAAACCCACTAGAGATTCGCTTACTTTTGTCAGACTCTCTTTGCAAACAAGATTAGATCATTGACAGTAAACATCAACTATGTGTGTACTTTCTGCACATCATCATCAGACAGGAATTGTACACAAACACACACACACTGTATAATTCTGTAATGAGCCTATGAGCTAATGTCATCATGCTCCCATAGTATAGAGCCTGGAGAAGATTAGTTACGATGGTCCATCCCAAACTACACTGCACCCAAATTAGATCCCAGTCATCGCCATTTCTCTTCCAGATTAGATCAGACTGTGAAGTGAACCAGAGGATAACATATCGAATCTCTGGAGCAGGGATTGATCGACCACCTTATGGAGTGTTCACCATCAACCCTCGGACTGGGGAAATTAACATTACCTCAGTGGTGGACAGAGAGATAACCCCACTGTTCCTGGTGAGTCCCGGAAGCTTTTATTTGTTTGTGCTGGTTTTTCTCCTTTAAAAAAAGAAAGAAAGTAAATCGAATGAGTGGATAAAAAGAAAATAGAATGAAAGAAGTAAAGGACTTGAAGGAATGAGAAATCTGAGAGCCAGCTTGGTGTGCCGTGTATTTATTGTACCTGCTTATGAACAAGTGATATTTCAATTGCTAGGCTCCACTATACTCTTATAATTTGGGGGAAATGTTATTTCTTGGCACATTTCATGTGTTTGCAAGTATGTTGCTTAATTTGCCTTGGTGGAGAAGACAGTTTCTCTCTGACTTTGCACAGATCCATTGTCGCGCTCTGAACGCACGAGGGGAAGACTTAGAGAGGCCCCTGGAGCTGAGAGTCAAAGTCATGGATGTGAATGATAACCCGCCGGTCTTCACTCAGAATGTGTACACAGCCACCATTGAAGAAAACAGCGACGCCAGTGAGTGGAGCGCCACCTCTTTACCGCACTGCATCTGCTCACTTCCTCTACACAAGGGCTTTGAAAGATGGAAACGCCAGCTTATTCACAGATCAGGAGAAGCCAACCCCAGACATTCTAACACAACTCAAATGCAAACGTACATGGTTAAATTGCTAGATATCCTCTTATTCATAGATGACTCTTAGACATGCAATTGAGCCAGTGTTCAGTGTCATTCTCCGAAATGGGTGAACTGACTTAATCTGAATGAGAAAAGCTTTAAAAATGTAAAACCACAACAGATTCCATTCTGACCTATGCCTGGAGCGGGCATAGCTGAACCACACTACAGAGCTAGTATGCAGGTGCTGTCCCATCAAAGCCAGATGGAGAGTATTTATGTCTTCGGACAGCAAGTGACATTCTTCTTCTTCTTCTTCTTCTACTTCTTCTTCTTCTACTTCTTCTTCTTCTTCTTCTTCTTCTTCTTCTTCTTCTTCTTCTTCTTCTTCTTCTCTCTCTCTCTCCCTCTCTTTCCCTCTCTTTCCCTCCCCCTTTCCCTCCCCCTTTCCCTCCCTCTCTCTCTCCCTCTCTCNCTCTCTCTCCCTCTCTCCTGCTCTCTCTCCCTCTCTCTCTCCCTCTCTCCTTCTCTCTCTCCCTCTCTCTCTCCCTCTCTCCTTCTCTCTCTCCCTCTCTCTCTGCCTTCCTCCCTCCCTGTCTCCCTCTCCCTCTTCCTCCCTTTCTGCCTTTCCTCCCATGTCTTTTCATCCTCTGTAATTCCAAGTCTAGTGCCTCCCCTAGCTTTCCTTGTCTTTCTCTCCTTCTTCCTCTTGTACTTTTCCGATGTTGCTACTTAACTCTCTCTGCTCCCATGCGACCTACTTCCACCTCTTCCCAACCCTCTAATATTCCTTAACCTTTCCATTCTGCACCTGACGTTATACCTCAAAATGCATTCCAGAGGATATATTAGCAAAACTGGGGAGAAAGGCATAGAAACACAAGTGTTTTAAACATACACAATAAGAAGGCATGGAAAGGCAGAAGGATTTCACTAAGGGGCACAAGAGGGGGCAGGAGGGACTCTAACTTTAGCTTCCTTATTAACTTGCTCAGAGCAGCCTTGGTGAAGGAAGAGGAGAAAACCACAACCAGTCCAATGGTACTTCCATCTCCTCCTCCTTTGAGCACAGCTTCTAAACAATACCCTACAAGACCAGACACACCTTCATAAACTCTGAAGTCCTGGTGCCCCTGCCTTACCTGTCCAAAGGCACCAAGATATTCGGCAGTGGGGTCTTCACTTTGAGGTCTGGGAGGCAAACTATCTGCCAATCCTGGAAAAGTCAATCCTGTGGATGATGACAGTGGGAACTGGCCACAAGGTCCTTTCTTTCTCTGCATGAATAATTAAGAACTTCTTATATTTTTTCTGATCAATTATTCATTTTCACAACTGTATAACTTTTATTTTGATAAATTATCTTCAAGTTCAAACAGTCATAATTCTGTTACAAGTGACAATTAATACTATACATATTTGCTAGGTGTCGTGGTACACACCTTTGCTCCCAGCACTCAAGAGGCAAAGGTAGGCGGATCTGTGAGTTCAAAATCAGGCTAGTTTATATAGTGAGTTCCAGGACAACCAGGGTTCTGTAGAGAGAACCTGTCTAAAAAAAAAGGCACCCATATAAGTAATAAGTGATTGTAATATTGAATTTAACTAAGTATCAATTTCTTAATTAAACAATATAAAAAAAATTTCATATGGCTATGGTAAAGACAAATCTGATAAAAAAATCACTTCCTTTATCTTTATGATAGTCTGCCAAACTTTTTCATATATTAAAAAACACTAGTTTGCTACTCACTTACCATTAACAGAGAAAAAGAATAAACAGTCAAGCGTTTCATATGTGAACTACTGCTATTTCTGTAACCACCGGTGTGGGTGATGGGACTCCATGGTGTAAGCTACAGTAACATACTCTCGAGGAATACTTAGGGAAAGCCAAGGAAAAACCTACCCCTCTTTTCATACCTGATGACTTGATGGATTAGAATCCCAACCATTCTCCACCTTCACCCTTACTCGCAGATGCGCTGGTGGTAAAGTTAAGCGCCACAGATGCAGACGAAGACAATCACTTGAATTCTAAAATCGCCTACAAGATCATCTCCCAGGAGCCTGCTGGCGCACCCATGTTCATGGTGAACAGGTACACCGGAGAAGTCCGCACGATGTCCAATTTCCTTGACAGAGAGGTAAAGCCTTCTTTGAAGGACTGATAACAGCGGGTTTGGTTTTGAATAAACAAAGTTAAAATGATTCGTGCATGACCTTAGTCCGGTGCACAGGAGGGAAGGAAAAATGCTTGAGCCAATTTTAATAAAAATTAAATGATCACTGATAAATATTTCATTTTATGCATCTATTAAAAAAAACAAATAATGGCATTGGATTGTGTTGGAGTCACAGTCCCAGTACCTAAACCTTATGGCTGTCTTTCATTCTGATTAAGCAACACAGTATGTACAATCTGCTCGTGAGGGGCTCAGATCGGGACGGAGCCACAGATGGGCTGTCGTCCGAGTGTGACTGCAGAATCAAGATTTTGGATGTCAATGATAATTTCCCCATCTTAGAGAAAACTTCGGTAAGTCATTATTTTAATGATCTTTTTCCCTTGACAGTAGTTTGCCTTCATGTTTATTCAGAAGTCTGGCTGCTACAATGTAGAGAGACGCAGCTTTATTACACAAACCTTCTTCTGTATGGTAGCATTCCTACATGTTTATCTTTTTCATTTTATTTACTTATTTTTTTGTGTGTGTGTATGTGTGTGTGTGTTGTGTGTCAGCACACAGGTGCCATGGCACACATGTGAAGGTCAGAGGAGCTTTCACGAGTTTGTTCTCTCTTCTACCATATAGATGCCAAGGTTCAGACTCAGATAGTCTTGGCGGCAAGTGGTTCCACCCACTGAGCTACCTTTCCTGCCTCTGTTTAGTTATCTCGGACTCAGTCTTCCAAGGCAGTCTCCTCTGTAAAAACAGTATACTCCACAGGCTATAGTCACAGAAATGTGGGAAATTTGTTGATCCAATGAAACAATAACAATATTTTTGTATAACAATATATTTTGTATTTTTGTATACTTGATGAATTAATCATATTAGAGTCTCAAACATTCTCTATTCCCATTCTCACCTTTATCATAAAGTATCACAAAATCAGAACTAGAAAGGTAGTCCAGTTGGCCAAATGGTCGCCTAGAATGCATAAAGCCCTGGGTTTGATCCATAAATACCACACAGTGTGGGTGGTGGGGCGTACCTGTAATCCCAGCCCTCAAAAGTGCGCATGTGGTAGGGAGTACCTGTAATCCCAGCCCTCAATAGGCAAAAGCTAGAGGCTCACAAGTTGAAGGTCATTCTCAGCTACATAGAAAATTCAAGACTAGCCTGGGTTATGTGAGTCTTTCACAAAAAAAAAAAATTAAATCCAAATAACAGGGCCAGGAATAGCTTGCCACCTGCTTTAGTAAAACTAGATTCTCTTGTTCATTTCTCCTCATGTTGCCGTCACTACTTTGTGCTGAACAGTGAAGGAATAAGCAATGCCACTGTAGAGTTTCTGACCCACAAAGTCCGATATGTTTGCTATTTGGCCACTAACAGATTTCGTTTTTGTTTTTGTTTTTTTGTTTTTCGAGACAGGGTTTCTCTGTGGTTTTGGAGCCTGTCCTGGAACTAGCTCTTGTAAACCAGGCTGGTCTCTAACTCACAGAGATCTGTCTGCCTCTGCCTCCCAAGTGCTGCCACCACTGCCCATCTTAACAGATTTTTTAAAATATGTAATTATTTATTTAAAAGAGAGAAGTAAAAATAATTTTAAAATAAATGGGTAAAAAATGAAGAGCCAATGTGATATTGACTTCACATGTAGCATTTGTAAATGAATTTTTTATCTTATAATACATCATTCTTATATTTGCTACTGAACAGATGCCACTGTAAATGAATTTTTTATCTTATAATACATCATTCTTATATTTGCTACTGAACAGATGCCACTTAAAATGTTTCCAAAAACACTGGCATGGTATTTTAAAGAATAATCCTATGATTGTAAATCTCTTTATTCCTGTAAAATTCATGTCATAGACTTGACCCCTTTATTCCAGTACTCAGCAAGTATTGAAGAAAATTGTTTGAGCTCAGAACTGATACGATTACAAGCAATTGATCTTGATGAAGAAGGCACTGATAACTGGTTGGCAGAATACTCAATCCTCTCTGGCAATGATGGGAACTGGTTTGAAATCCAAACAGATCCACGAACCAATGAAGGCATTTTGAAAGTGGTCAAGGTAAGCATGGGATTCCTATGGTTTCCTTCCAAAGAAGCTCAAAGTGATTCTTAGACTGATTAGGCTTTCAAAAAGCTCAGAATCTAAATGCTGTCCGTATCCATGAGTTTCCTGACTGTGATGGAGGAGGCTTCGAGGCTAGCAACACAATATCTGTTAGTAAGAAAAACAAGGCTACCTTTTCTCATAGCACTCAGTGACTCTGAGAAAATAAGAAAGTGCCCTCTAAGTAAACAGTATGTCCATTCGTAGAGCAAAAGTGCTGCCTGGGTGGGATGTAAGGCCCATTCGGGGTGGGGTAAACATGAGGTGCTGGTGAGAGATGAAAAGGTGAGGTTCTTCTCAACCAGTTTAGTCTGAAAAGGTTTCATGCAGTGAGCAAGGGCACTGGGGTTCTCTCAGTGGGATTTCTATGCTAAAATGGAAATAGCAAACTCTAGTCTTTATTAAGCATTACAATATTCTACTCCAGATATAATGATATAATCTAACCCACACCACTCTGGGCAGAAAAATCTGTAATTTCTTTTTATAAAAATTGAAGAAAATCAAAGATCAAATTGTCTCATTTCTCCTGGGAGGCAAACGATAAGGGCAGAATCCAAACAGATCTGTAGGATCCCAGCCTGAAGACGGTAAACCAGGATTCAAGAAAGAACCCAAGCTGCTTACTTTAGCTTCTAGAACAGTCTTCACAAATACTGCCCAGCACACCCTGCTTCTACAACAGCTTCTTCTCTTGTAAACTTTTATGTTCCCACATCAGTCAGTCTGGATCAAAAGACTGCATTCACCTTTCATGCAGAAAACTCGCTCAAAGGTGGCTTTCCTCAGGGTGTGGCATTTAGTGATTGCAGTGTGCCTAATAAAGGAGCCATCTGGTCTACCAGACCCAGTGCAACTAAGTCATAGCATCAGGCTGATTGTAATAGCAAAATATTTTTAGAATTGTTTACATCATCTAAACTCATAACCATATGTTTGCTTAGATCATACATATTGTCTCCTCTATTCTGCCATTGCTACTTTAAAGATAGTCTCAGATGTGAATTCTACAAAGGAGGTCTGGGACCTAATTGCTCAGTCAGTAGTTGTGGGCAAATTTTGATCCATTCCAGATTTACTTTTTAATTTTTATAAAAAGAGGTGTCATTTTTCATTTTAAGATTTTTTTATGAAAAAAGTTGAAAACTTCAAACTATAATCTCAATTTTAAATCACAGACTTAAGGGTGGAGATTCAGCTCAGTGGTAGCACACCCATCTAGCATGTTCGAGGCCCTGAGTTCTATTCCCAGCATCATAGAGAACAAAGAGAAACAAATAACAAATGACCCTTAAGTGAACACATGCATAAAACACACTATGTAACTAAGATTATTTCAACGTCAAGGGTCAGAATTGCATGGTTACAGGATTTTGTTCTAGTCTATAGCCTCTTTGTCATGTTTCTTATTCTAGCATAAGGGAGCACTGGGCTAAGGATATGGCACAGCTGGTAAAGCACTTGCCATTAAAACATGAGGACCAGAGTTCAAATCCTCAGAACTCATAAAAGAGTCATTTGGGCATGGATGACCACCTGTATTCAAAACCACAGGACAGAGAGACTGGGGGTTCTCATGGCAAGATGGCTAGCCATACAAGCCATAGTTTCAAGCTCAGAGAGAAACCCTGCCTCAGTATATAAGGTGGATAGCCACGGAGGAAGACATCCAATATCACCTCAGGCACGCATGTGTACCTAAGCCACCCACGAAAATAGCACTTAAAGCATCTATGCCCACTATAATACATCCTCCTCCGATAGAGAGACCCCTTTGCTAGTTCAAAACTGTTTCTGTCCATCATTTCAGATGCTGGATTATGAAGAAATACCTAATATTTACCTCAGCATTGGAGTAAGAAACAAAGCTGAATTTCACCACTCAGTGGTGTCTCAATTCCAAATGCACTCCACCCCTGTGAGAATCCAGGTTCTCAATGTGCGTGAAGGACCCACCTTTCGCCCCAGTTCCATGACGTTTAGTCTCCGAGAAGGAACCCGGGGAGACTCCTTAATGAACTATGTACTTGGCACATACACAGCCATAGATACGGACACAGGGAACACTGCAACAAACGTCAGGTATGACAAGTACTTTCCTCCCGCTTGTGTGGCCGTTGTTCGTTCATGTGGAGTGTGGTAGAGAATTGGTGTAGCACTCGGGGGATGGAGGGTTTTGTCTTCTTGCTTGTTTTAGGGGACTATGACAGCATTTGATGCTTTTCTGGAACTGAAGAACATGTTAGTGGCAATGGGAGCTCTAGCTGGTTATAGCATAAGTGCGTCTGGGGAGTGGCTGCAACATTAAAGAGCTTCCAGTGTTGCCAAGAGAGTCTCTTTGATCCTTTGAGGTCGGCTGTACTACCCTGAACTAAGCCGGTTTAGGTCATATTGTAGGCAGTAACACACCATAAAGAGTGAGTCACCGCCTGCTCCCAGAGAACCTGGGGCTATCTTTGAGATGAGTTTCAACTCTCTGCTTGATCTAAAAGAAAAAAATAAATAGTGGAAGAAACCGGAACATACGTGTTTCAGAAATGTGGTGAGCATCCCAAGGCAAAGCAGGAAAAGAGAACACATTAGGGGCACTGGGCACAGACTACACACAAGAGCAAGAGAGCCTAGAATGTTGAAATAAGGGGCGGCGGGGCTGCGTCCCCGGCACCTGGCCGCCCGCATGGTTAGCTTATGCCCCGAAATAATTACACGGAAACTGTATTCTTTCAAACACTGCCTGGCCCGGCTAGTTCCAGCTTCTTATTGGCTAGCTCTTACATATTGTTCTAACCCATTTCTAATATTCTGTGTAGCCCACGAGCTGGCTTACCAGGGAGGATCTTAACCTGCATCTGTCTGGACTGGGAGAATCATGGCGACTCTCTCACTAAGCTTCCTTCTCCCAGAATTCTCTTCTGTTTTCTCCACCCACCTAAGGGTGGGCCTATCAAGGGGCCTAGGCAGTTTCTTTATTAATAAGAAATCACTCCCACATCACTAGAAATCACTAGAAATGGTCTTTCCCTCCCCCTCTTGTCTCTTGCAGCTCCTCTCCTTCCCCAGCACTTTCAGAGTGAACAGATACCAATTTAGTAATCTAATTGACTCTGTGGCAAACTTCTAAAGTTTGCTCGCATGGGGAAGCGTTAGGGGATCAGCTGAAGGAAGTGAAGGTGTGTGATCTCAGCTGCTAGAGACCCAAATGTTCTTCATCTCGGCTCAAGTCCTTCGGATCCGTCTCCAGATAGAGAGGTGGATAAGGGCTACCACAAGCCCCTGAGGAGACAGACAATATGAAGCCAGCCTACCCCAAGCCTACAGTCAGCAAGTAGTCTGTCATGCCTGAAAAGAAATACTTGTTTTTCAAACTAGAGAAAGTATATTTGCTATAACTCAGTAATAAATGGGCTTGAGATATACCCATACATTTTACTGTATAACCAAAAATCTAGAAGAAGAAGTAAATTTATATTGTCAACCTAATAACAATATATTCAACACTGGATTCTCAGTGGAATAGATACACACACACACACACACACACACACACACAAGCTCACATTTTGTGAGCTAAGACAATGATGAATCAAACATACACAATGCGGGCCCACTGCACTGCAGTTCTCATATGATTTGGAAATGCTAACTTGACAGAAGTGTAACAATGAACTTGTTGTTTAAAAACAGGTATATCATAGGGCATGATGCAGGCAGCTGGTTAAAAGTTGATTCAAGGACTGGTGAGATACAGTTTTCTAGAGAATTTGACGCCAAGTCAAAATATATTACTGATGGAATATATGCAGCAGAAATCCTGGCTATAGATGGTAAGAATTTTTTCAATATTTTAATATGATTCATACTATTATATGAACTATTATGAATATAGCTATTCTAATGTTGAGCCAAAATCTGTTCTGTGAATCAAAAACCATTGCTTTCTGGTATGTTAAAGCTTACAGAAAATTTTAGATATGTTAGATTAAGAGTTAAACTTACCAAATCAAAAAAATAGACAGAATTCATTTACACTTGTACCCATAATTTATATTTAAGCCATAATTTATCTCACTTAGTCCTAAAACAGAATCATATGAGTTCTATAGTATAAAGCATGAAAGTTGAATATGTATAAAATAAAAGTTTGCTTCTTCTTATGACCACATAGCTTGAGTATGGCTAATGTCACTAAGTGGAGCATGCTAGGAATTTTTTCTTCACAGTCAGGATTACAAGCTGTGCCAAAGATCACTACAGGGTCACCTTGGTGGGAAGCAGTGTGCCTGAGAGTATACTTACTTCAAAGTCACCAGAATTGAGCCTTGATGAGAAACCAGCCTGTTACTTAAAAAATATATTACACTGTCCACTGTAAGATGCTCTTGGCAAAAAAAAATCGATTATATATTATATTATACCATCTTTATGCAAAGGCTGCATGGAATTCATTTGTGATTTGGCCACTTCTCTCATGGGAAAATCTATGACATGTTCCTTTTGGTGACTCACAACGGGGGTTTGTTATTTGTCGACAATCAATGATTTTCGAGAACAGTGCCTAGGAAGCCAGATGCCACAGAGAAAACAGAGTGAAGTCAGTAGGAAAGAAGCCAGGTAAACGTCCCAATGAAGGCCTAGGTGAAGTCAGGGGTGCTAGGTTAGTGAATGGCTGCATCTGGCCTTCACAGTGTCCAGAAGGAAAGGTGATTGAGCAATGGCAAGCTCAAAACCCAAAAGCATGATAAAGTCTAAGAAATGAGCCACAAATTTTAGTCTCATCCTAAGAATGTCTCTTAACGTTCAGGTCTGCTACATACCTAACATTGTCTTGCTTACTTAAGCCAATGTTCTGAAAGGGAGGTGTTGTTGTTGTTGTTGTTGTTGTTGTTGTTGTTGTTGTTTTGAAACAGAATCTAAGCATGTTGATCATACCTTGGTCATGAATGAAAATCAGCAATAAGTAGAATAAAAAGATAATTACAGCACAAGAATGAAGAGAAAACATGATAGCAAAATGTGACAGAAGATTGGCGTTTCTCACCTAAGCACAGGATCCATGTAGGCACACAGCCTCCTCTTCCTGTGGTTGGCTTTGAATCGGGACATGTAGACAGCAAGGGAGGAGACAGACGCACTGGAGGGCAAGCTTTCAAAACAGCAGCTTCAGCTCTGGCTACAAATCACAAGGCCACAAGTCGGCTCCAGAGAGTGGCAAATAGAGCCAACTGTGGAAGACTATAATGTACCTCTAATAAAAGACACTTTAGAAAGTCCTGTGGTGATCATACTCACATGGGATAAAGACAGGCTCTTGACCTACCATCACTTAAGTACACAAAAACATCTTTGGGGAAGGCAAGATGGCTCAGTGAGTAAAGGTGCTTGCCACCAAGTCTGATGACCTGATTTCTATCACAGGCAAATAAATAAATGCAGCAGAATATTATCTTTCAAATAAGTGTATTAACATAAAATGATTTATCTGGTTAACCTAGAGAGGGTAATATCTAAATTTTCAAATGAGAAAATGGCAGCTCCTTGCAGTGTAAAAACAGCAATACTTTATTCACTAGAACACAGCTTAAAGTAGGATGTGGCCTGCACTCAGACCCCAATTTTGGTCCTCTACTTTTTCTAATACATTATACTGACCAATGCTTTGTTTCAAGTAGATTAGAGAGGAAATTGACATTTGTCCCTAGAAATGAATGTCATTACAGAGAGAAATAAACTAAAATTCTCACCAACAAAGAAAAATGAATAAAAATATACAAGCAATTATTCAACCCCTCCCCCACCACAGTTTTGAATACACACGCGCAGAATCAGTCGGACCCTGAAGAGGGAGACTGACCACAGCTGTAGAGTCCACCTCGTCAGGGCAGGATGAGAGGAGCAAAGGATGAACGTTCTTTGAAGGACATGCCAGTTCCCATCTCCATCTTCGGGAGAGTGAGCAGAGTGTACAAAGATGAGAAAGGCTGAAAGGCTGCTGGAGGGGCCACAGTGACCGGAGAGACCCAACCAGGCACAACCCGTCCCGCCTCGCACGTCACTTGCACTGTCCATACTTCCTGTGGCATCTTTGTGGGATGGGAAATCGAGTCTTCTCCCCACCCACAACTCGGCTTACCCTAACTCCCAGGATGCTCTCCTTTTCAGATGGCTCGGGGAGAACAGCTACAGGAACCATATGCATTGAGGTTCCCGACGCCAATGACTACTGTCCAGTCATTCACACTGAAAGAAGAAGTGTCTGTGTCGATGCTTCGTCTGTCAGGATCTACGTCAGTGATCATTCCTTCGGGTCTCCCTTCACCTTTTGTGTGGTCGATGAGCCATCAGACACAGCCAGCATATGGCATATCCGATCACTCAATGGTAAGTGGAGTGCAAGGTACCCCCTTGAAGCCCCAGAGCGAAGCAGTGAACAAAGTCAGGTCGTCAAACACAGACTTCTGGCTCTTTCTACGGCATACTCACATTGAAAGAAAAATCAAATTATACTAGATAGTTGGGGGAAATATGCCTGGAAAAAAAGTCAAAAGATTTCAGTAGTGCAGGGATAATCCATAATGTGTAAACACCAGCTAATTAACCATCATCAAGTAGGCAGTAAATCAACGTTTGGTCACTTGAGATAAACAGATTACTTGACTAATCAGCAACGGTCACAATTCCTTGCATTTTATAAATCCAGACAAAAACACCAATGTCTCTGAAATCCTCGTGCCCTGTAGAAAATCACCCGCTTTCTCTTTGCCATTGAAATTGTTTCTATAATGAGCTGAGTTCATTTTTATTTGTAAGGATAAAAGTTGAAATCCAAACCGCCAAATATTGCAGAAATGGTTGAGCAGAACATGAGACATGTTATCAGGTGAGATGCTCTTGTGACAGTGCATGCTACAGTTGGGGACAAGGATAACCAACACACAGGGAGACAGCTATGGGATCTGGCCCTGGCCCATATGCACAGCCTTCAGCTCTGGATTAGATACATAATGTGGAGAGAGGCGCTGAATCTGCTGTAGGTGACCGAGAGGGTTGCTCCCAAGGACTTCTAACGTGTTTGCTGTGTCTTCCTTGTTCTTCAGAAACCTCTGCCATCCTTATGACTGAACAGACTCTATCTCCAGGAACGCACCAAATCCCCATTCTTGTGACGGACAGTCACAACAGAGCCTGTGAGCTGCCGCAGATTGTCCTGCTAGATGCCTGCTTTTGCGATGACCACCACGTGTGTTTGCACTCCAGCACCACGGGCATCTACAATGGGGACGGCACCTGGGTGACAGATGACACCTATGGGACTGTCACTGATGATGGGGTTGGACAGTCGAATGTCAGACTTGGACCCGCGGGGATTGGCATGATTGTTCTGGGCCTCTTGCTGCTTCTTTGTAAGTACTATAAATCGTCTCTGTGGACACACAGGAACTAAGTTCATTTGGCCATTGCTTACTGGTATCTGCAGCCATCTTGGGGCTGACAAAGGCTTGCACCTGTTTGATAATGATAACAACAAAGACCAAGGGTTAGTGCCTTCCTACAGACTGGAAACATATGCAAATCATCAGGTATAATCTACACACATATAAAATAAGTCCTGTAACAGAAACCCCACCAAAATGCTTCAAAGCAGAAAAGCAAGAATGAGAAATTCAAAAGAGGGGAGTTAAGGAAATTTTACAGAAGTGGATTTGAGCTGGACCCTGAAAGTTGAGGATTTTCTCAGAACAGTGTAGCATGGGATTAAATCTAAAAGGCAATTGAGGACAAAGAAGCAGCCCAAGTTAAAACAGATGGGATGGAGGTGGAGCCCAGTGGGATATAGCAAGTCACTAATAAGTAGGACCTTGGGTTCAGTCTTCAGCACAAAGAAAACAACAAGCAATAGGTTGGGTGGCGACACTGAAGGCTTAGCACATGGAGGACGGAGAAGTAGAGAAGCTAAGCAGTAGACTGAGGGCCAGCTTGGAGGCACTTCTGTAGCATGCTTGGAGCATTACGTGTTCCTCTGGTCACAGGCAATGAAGGAATCGATGCTTATTGAGCCCTCGGGTGAGCTGCTCCCCTGGTAGAGTAGGATCCAGGGAGAAGCAGTTCGAGAAGCTGTAGAATCTACCCAAAGACCCTGATCCTAGGGATGGCAAAGCTGCTGAGCCAAACTCTCAAAAGGAGGCTTGTCTTTCCCTGTGCTTTATTTCTTCAAAAGGTCTTCAAAAGAGAAGTCAATTATGAATTTTATTTTGCCCCTAAAGTATTCATACTCATTGGGAATCCAACACTGGATTCTTAAATCAACATGATTAAGTTCATTAAATTGGGCTGTTGACATGTATCTGTGAATGAGTACAAACTAAAACATTTTCATTTGGAAATATAAGAAAATAATATCTGGTGTTTGGACAGACTTTCTTAAAATGATCTAAGAATTTGCAAGGTTACACAAAAATCTTGACTCATTCTCAAAATGCCTTTGGGAATGTCCCAGAACTTGACCTTTGGTGTCTTAATTGACCTATGGTATCTTACTTGACCTGTGGGATCTTACCTGACCTAAAGTATCTTATCTGACTTAAAGCATCTTACCTGACCTAAGGCATCTTACCTGACATATGGAATCATAGCAGTTGTAATAAACTATTCAAATCAGTAGTTCTCAATCACACACACACACACACACACACACACACACATAAGAATTACCGAGAGGTCTTTTCAGGGTTTCTTGTCTGAGTCATAACCCAAGATGGGACCTAAGTATTGTCACCTTAGGCCCTCACTATCTAGGTGTTAAAATCCACTACTAACATTTGCATCAGGCTACATACCCTGGGGAAAGGTTCAAAGTCAAATTTTGAAATGCATTTTCTATTGGCTCTATAATACTCCTGAAAGCTCCTAGCGTTGAAATGTCACATGGGAAACTGTCATAAATTGAGGGCCATCCATGTGTATATTCAGTCAGGAGTTACATAGTACCCATAGACATAGAGATTTTCATGTGCACATATGGGAGACTAGGAGTCAGAGAACTGAGTCATCAGTTGGTTCAGAAAACCTGGACTCCAGGGAGAACTGGTTCTTCCTTCAAATCATTTAGTAAAGTCTGGATTGCAGAGCCCCACACCCTCTCCCCTTCCAGCTCTCAGGTTCCCTGTGGTTTGATGTTTGTGTCTATAAACATGGACAGTTGCGTTTGACACTGTTTCTCTGATGAGGGGGCATCTGATACACTATTGCCTTTATATTTACCCCGTTCCAATTATAGTACCACAAAAAAAAATGTGACTTCCTAAGGGGGCAGCAGAGGTTAACTCTCATCCCTTTCTTGGCCAGTGTCTCCTCTTTTACTGCTTATGTGTTGCTGCAAGCGACGACAGCCAGAAGGCCTGGGGACCAGGTTTGCCCCTGTGCCCGAGGGAGGCGAAGGAGTGATGCAGCCTTGGAGAATAGAGGGAGCGCACCCGGAAGACAGGGTGAGTGCTTCCCACGGAAGTGCGGGGTTTCAGCGGGAATTCAGTCAGCCCTAACAGTTCCATACAAGGCAAAAGCAAAGTCTCAGCTTTTAAATGAAGAACATGCAACATTTATCTTAAAATCTCTTTTCTTTCAGGATGTGTCCAATATATGCGTACCCATGACAGCCTCTAATACCCAAGACCGCATTGACTCCTCTGGTCAGTTGACACCAATTCTGTTTTCCTTTCTATGATTTACAAAATCATTCTATCAAACCAATCTCAAGTGAAAATACCTTACACATTAGCATGCGTGTGAATCTTATTGCATGAGAATACATTCAGAGGGTAAATGACATGTCTGGGGCGACCACTCAACTTTTCTATCTGAAGTTACAGATGAGCAACTCAAAATGCTGCAACTTAACAGTCAGAGTCTGAAACCATAATTGCGATTTTCTTCCTAGTTCTGCCACTTACTAGTAAGAAGTCCCTAATAGACCCAGCCTCTCTGGACGTAGGTCCTTCTTAAGATGAAGGTTACATAACAACTGATACTATAATTGTAATTCTGTATAATAAGATTTCTTTAAAAATTCTTTATGCAGCATTGATTTAAAGATCTCTTTAAAACCACATACATGTTATATAAAATATATATACATTCAGGTGATAGCTATGATGTATATTCATATGAATGCATTTTCCTGTATGATACAATGTATATGATTTGAATAGTGCCTGGAAAGGGGTGCAGCTTACTGCAATGCTTATCTATAATAAAAGTTATTTGGAGAAAAGGGGAGAGAAGAACAGCAACAAATATGTTCTTTGAATGACACACTGGGGAAAGCTCTTTTAGTTCATATGAGTTTTCTCCACACCAGTGTCTTACACGATCCATACGTCGGCAGTCGCACGCAGCTCAGGGTACTTGAAAGTACTTCACAGTTGGGAATGAGTGAACCAAGCAGGGGTTGTCCAGCTGTAGAGCAGACGTGATATTTTTCGGAGATGAAAAATCTTAGTCTTAATACCTAAAGCCTGGTACTTCCATGCAAAGAATATGCGCAGTCCCCAAGTGAGTCAGCTCTCCAGCGCACATGCAAATGAGGACTGGAGATTTGGCTGCTGGGAGCAGCCTAATTCTTGCTTCAGGACATGGGTTGTGCCCTCTTAAGTGGGCTAGGGCATAGGGATTGCTGCGACTGCACAGACCAACCCAGCAGCTGCATTATGTGTCTTTAAATACCCAAGGTTGTGTCCATGAGAATGAGCCGTGTGCCACAGCTGTCTCCTCCACTATCACTTACTCTTGACAAGTCTGGGAATTCTGCAAGGGGCCACTCATTGCCTGTCCTTCTAGAACCACTTCTGTGCTGTGTTGGTGGTGGGAAAGAGGTTGTAAAATAAGCCATCCGGGTAATCTGGGCATTGTCATGGAAAAACCCTGTCTTTTCAGAAATCTACACCAATACTGTCTTTTCAGAAATCTACACCAATACTTACGCTGGTGGAGGAACAGTGGAAGGGGGTGTGTCAGGAGTGGAGCTCAATACAGGCATTGGAACAGCCGCAGGCCTGGTGGCTGGAGCAGCAGCAGGGACCCTGAGGAAGAGAAGCTCAACCATAGGGACACTTCGGGAATACCAAGACACTGGCATGAACATGGCCTTTTTGGACAGCTACTTCTCCGAGGTAAGCCCTACACACAGACTTGGAAGGCATCACTTTAGGACTAAAAATATATTCAGCTCCTTTTTAACCCTATCCCAATCTTGAATTTTAAAAAATTTCAATTCTTAAAAGACACAAAGCCAATTTGCAATAGTGTTTCACATCTAACTATTGTGAAAAGACTAACATCCCCCATCATCCCTTGCTTCTTTTTCCTTAACATCTTCCCTTCTGTTTTCTTCTGATTTCTCCATTTTGTTGCCATAGCGACAACAGAGCAAAAGGACGCTAAGAAAGAAAATCAAAATTGCATTAATGTCCTCTAGGATGCCCTTCTTGTTCTCCAAGTGGATCCAATGAAATGAGAGGACAGACAGGACAGGGCAGTGATACAGCTAAGTTGGTAGAGTATCTGCCTAACACACACAAGGCCTGGGTTCAATTCCCATCACAAACCAGACTTTGGGGTGCACATCTGTAATCCTAACATTTAGGAGGTGGAGGCAGGAGGATCAGAAGTTTGAGGTCACCCTCAGCTACATAGTTCTAAGTTAACCTGGGATAGAACCTATCTCAGAATAATGATAATAATAAGAATATAAAAAATAATAGCAGTTGTTATTATCATTATTAGTATTATTATTATGACAGGACTGGGAGCAAAGGGATTTAAAGCTCGATAATGCATTATCTCAACTTGGTGATAGATAAAAGCTAACAGATAGGAACCCAGGGTTCCTCTTCTCAGTCTAGAGCCCATATATTTGTGCCAGAATGCCAAATAAATGCTCCAGGAAACTATGCTGGTCTAGCAGGGCACTATACGTAGTAAATAAGTTTGGGCTAGAGAGCTAGATCAGCAGTTAAGAGAATTGACTGCTCTTCCAGAGGACCTGAGTTCAATTCCCAGAACCCACATGGAGGCTCACAAGCATCCCTCATTCCAGTTCCAGGGTTCTGACACCCTATTCTGACACCAGGCATACACACAGTACACAGATACACATGCAGACAAAACTCATAGACATAAAATAAACTAAGAAAAAAATTTAAAAGAGTAAATAATTTTTCATATTGAAAAACTTTATTTTGTTTGATTAGCAATACATTTTTATTATCTCCATTAGACTAAAATATTCCTCAAATGCTAATACGTGAATTTCTCCATTGCTCTTTAAAAGAAAAAGTCCGAGGATGCTGTGGTTTAAACTACACACAGCACCTATGCATCTGTGCACAAGACCAGGCTCTTCACCGTTCCATCACGGACAGGGAGGTACCCCCACGGCCCCACCCGCACTTGAAGAGCTGCCGGCACTTAATGGCTGCCAGCAGAGGAGAAATAGACATTTCCTAGGTTAGGTCCACACTCCAGTAAATAGCACATCATTACCTGTGCTTGATGCAAGCAACCCCAACTCAGTAAAAGAAAAGAAAAGTCATGAAAGCAGCACGGAGACCAGTTAGGAAGACAAGGGGGTTCGGAGGCAGTCAGAGGGGATAAGAGAGAGCAATGAGGGCAAACAATCCTACTACTTGGTACACATGTATGAAATTATTAAAAATAAGCAAAAATCTAGTAGTTAAATACTATTGTAAAATTCATATAAATTATATATAAATATATTGATTCTTAATAATGGATCAATACTGCTAATCAACTTAGTCAATAAGTAGGCTCAACTTATATGTATCCAGAAATATTTTTAGGTCATTCAGAAAGTCATAACTATATATTAAAGACCTTCTATAACTATATTCATAACTATATATTAAAGACCGTCACTGCAGTCGCTACCTAGTCCTCCAGGCAAGTCCGGATCATCTGAGGGCTGATGACATACACTCACTCATTTAGTGGGAGAAGGGAGCTCCACAGTGAGACTGCCTCAATAATAGTAATTTGAAAAATGCCACAGGGGCCATCACTCAAACCTGACATCATCTTCGAGTGGCTAAGTCACACAGAACTTCAAGAACATTCTGAGAAAGTCTGGCATTTAGAGAGATTTCTATCTTTGTATGTGTGTTTGCTCCAAATTCATCTAATGTCTCTCTTTACGTAAATATCTGGAGCCCAGCAAACTGAGCCAGCATGTAAGGGTGTCTGATGACAAGCCTGACAACCTGAGTTCCTTCCCCGGATCTGCGTGTCAATAGGAAAGTTGTCCTCTGACCTCCATATGAGTTCTACCGGCACGCACATGCATGCAAACAAATAAATAAATGTATAAGTGTAAAAACATTTAAAAATAAATACTTTGAACATAATTAAACCCATTTTATTTCTATGTCACCTCAGAAGCAAAGAACTATAAATCAAAAAGATCTGTATATTATCTGATTCAAAACACATCATTTATTAATTTTCCAGTTAGATTCACACATATTCCTCAAATTCTATGCCCCATTAACCCAAACAATGATCTCTATTCAAAAACAAAATAATGTAGTAATGCATCCAAGTATTGTTTTATTCCTTAATTTAGTCCACAGAACCTTTAGTTCAGAAGTCTCTGGAACATTGCCGTTGTTCTTCGGCGGTTGTTGTAAAGGAAAGAAATCTCTAATTCCCTGTCTCCCCTCCCCTCTCAGAAAGCATATGCTTACGCGGATGAAGACGAAGGCCGGCCAGCCAACGACTGCCTGCTCATATACGACCACGAGGGAGTGGGGTCTCCTGTGGGCTCCATTGGCTGCTGCAGCTGGATTGTGGATGACCTGGATGAAAGCTACATGGAGACTTTAGATCCAAAATTCAGGACTCTAGCTGAAATCTGCCTGGACACAGAAATCGAACCGTTCCCTTCACACCAGGCCTGTATTCCCATCAGTACTGACCTCCCCTTGCTGGGGCCTAACTACTTCGTCAACGAATCTTCAGGAATGACTCTCTCGGAGGCTGAATTCCAAGCAGAAATGGAAGCAGCCTCTGAACCCATGATTCATGGAGACATCATAGTGACTGAGACGTATACCACTGCTGACCCCTGTGTGCAGCCAACGACGATTGTTTTTGATTCTCAGCTTCCACCCAATGTAGTCGTGACCGAAACCGTAATGGCGCCTGTCTATGATGTTCAAGGGAACCTTTGTGTACCTGCTGAGCTAGCCAACACACACAATGTATACTACGCTGAGAGAGTGGTGGCTAGCCCTGGGATGCCTGACATGGGCAACAGTAACATGACGGAAGCCTGTATGGGACCAATGATGAGCGGAGGAATTTTGGTAGGGCCAGAAATTCAAGTGACGCAAATGGTGAGCCCAGACATTCACATAAGCCAAACCATAGGCTCCAGCTCCCCGGTAACATCTCAACATCGAGTAACGAGATACAGCAACATACATTACTCCCAACAGTGAGTCCTTCATGGGGATTTTGTACTCCATGCACATCAAAGATATTTAATGTGCTGTATTCAGTATTTTAACATTCAGCAAACATTCACACATTCTAGGTTCAATAGGGCTCTTTGATGACAGCTTTTGGAGGATAAATATGACTACACACTTTAGATAAGCCTCTTTAGTTCTTTCGGGTTCTCAGTAATAGGCCAAAAATACCCCTAGAATTAAAGGTGTTATATCCTGTAGGTGTTGTCTAACTAGTAGTACACAGCTCATGGGGCCAATCCTATAAGTTCCATGAGCGAATCAAAAGCTTTGGAAAGATGTTGTGAAATTTTATCTGCATCTTCTTCCCATAATTTCCTTTAAAGAAACATTTTGATTATTTTTTAAAATTCAGATCAGGGCTATATAGTGAGACCCTGTCTGAAAAATTACTTCAGGACTGCAGGTGTAGTTCAGTGGTAGAGTACTTGCTGAGCCTAGCGTGCATAAAGCTGTAAATTCAATCCCCAGCATCAGGAAAAAAAAAAAAAAAAAAAAAGCCTAACTGACCCAAAAGACATGTAAACTTCTGAAAGGAAATGAAAAGGAATGTGGAACATGTGTGAACAGAGAGGAACTCATCTGCATTTTCAAAGAGTTTTGCAAGAAACAACGTTAAGCATTATCATAACATTAAGTATTCCTTATATGAGATCAGAGTTTGAGATTAAGAGCATTTGCTGCTTTTGCAGAGAATCTAGGTTTGTTTCCCAGCATTCACATGGTGACTCAGAACCATCTGTAACTCCAGTTCAGTAAGATCTCTTCTGATCTCATTGGGCACCAAGAATGCATACGGGACACATACATAAATTCAGGTAAAACACTTAGACACATAAAATAAAACTATGGGAAGGGGGGAGAGAAAGAGAGAGAGAGAGAGAGAGAGAGAGAGAGAGAGAGAGAGAGAGAGAGAGAGAGAGAAGGAAAGAAGGAGAAAAAAAGAAGGAAGAAAGGAAAAAAGAAAAAGAAGGAAGGGAGGGAGGAAAGAAGGAAGGGAAAGAAGAAGGAAGAAAGGGAGAGAAAGTAGTGTGTTAATAGAATCACTCCTCAAAAGGATATATATATCCAATATATTTATATATAAATTTTATTGTCATTTATTGATTTATATTAATTGTAAATTAATTTAGAATCACATAAAATGACAACTCTTAAACTGATTTTTGAGGATGTATTAGTATTTTCCTCCTTACAAGGAATTATTCCTTACTTTTGCTAATAATGTCAACAAAAATATGACATATTATTTTAAGCAGTTTCTTAGGCCTGAGTCATGGAGCCATTTGACCATCAGAAGTTCTCCAGACACACATATATAACTATTGTGTTTTTAACAATATTTATTTGGGAACTGCAAGGTTTGGAGCATTTGTCTTGGCTCTCTTGGTTCTGTGGATGTGGAAGTAAAGAGGACAGACATGCTTGCATTTGTTTCTAGACTTAACAGGAATACTTAAAGGTATTATTTTAAATGCTTCCAAGAATAATTAGAGAACAGCCCATCCATTAAACTGTGTTTCTCTTGCTAATATTGCTCGCGATGCTGAACGGATGAAATGGAAACACTAATGCAGACTTCTTGTAGTCAGTATGCATACGTCTGACTTGAGAAGAAATTATAATGGTAGTTTTATTTAATTCTGTAAAATATGTAAACTATACAGTGGAAACTATAACATGACTGGAAAGACAATGTAAATGAAATAAACTTCTTTTCAGGGATTATTCCTTTTAGAAGGAAATAGTGGGAGACTTTCTTGCTTTTCTGCATTTCATTTATTTAAAAATTGTTGTATTTGAAGTATCTGCCATGAGCTTTTACTTAATTTTGTATAGAAAAGAGATGGAGAGGTAAAGTAGGCAAAGCCTGTTAGTTTTGGTGTAAAACATTGATCCCGTCGCTCAGATGCCCCGGCCGATGCTCTGATACTCTAACTACATCAGAGTGGAAGACTGGGGCTGGTGAGATGGTACCACGGGTGAAAGCGCTTGCCACCAGAACTGATGAGCTAAGTCCAAGCTTCAGAGCCCAAACGGTAGAAGGAGAGAACCAACTCTCGAAAGTTATCCTCTGACCTTCATATGCACAAAGCAAATGTTTAATAAAATTAAAAGAATGGAAAAGATCCAATTTTGTCTACTCTGTGAACTTTGCTGTTTATTAATGAGAGCAGAAAAAAAAACTCTCTTTAAAAGGCAGGATTCAAGCTGGGCAGTGGTGGTGCATGCCTTTAATCCCAGCACTCGGGAGGCAGAGGCAGGCGGATCTCTGTGAGTTCGAGGCCATTCTGGTCTACAAGAGCTAGTTCCAGGACAGGCTCCAGGAGTCATACAGCTGAAGTGCAGAGTAGCTAAGACAACATGGTAGCAGAAGTCTTCCCCCATTACTAAGTAATTATTTGCCTCCACTATTTTATAATTGTTTTCAAACATCACATACTGGGATAGCCATCTTGAGTTATTTCCATCAAAGATTTGGCTACATTTCTCTGTCCTATTTTTTCGTGAGCTCTGTGGAGCAATCCAGAAGCTTTGATTCCACAGCCCTCTTATGGGTAATGCCCAGGTTTTAGCTGACCACAGAGTGGCTCCCATGTGCTCAGCTTTGAGGCATTTCCCAACATGGGTATTTTTCTCTTGATGCTTGCACCCTATTGAGTCAAAGATTCTAGAAATCAAAAAAAAAAAAAAAAAGCTAGTGAATTACTAAATATAAAGTTAAAATTCAAAACACTATTTACAAATGGGGAAAGATGGCTAATTGAGGTACCTACAGAACATATCAAAGTGTACCTGGTTGCCAGACTCTCCCAGTGTTCCTCGGCCCCTAAGTGTTTTTGGCTATGCCGGTTCTTTTTCCTTTTTATGCCTTTTTGGTCTCTTGGTCTCTTGGTGTCCTGGTTGCGCTCACCCCCCAACCACCACACATGTGCGCACAGACACACACAACAGCCCAGCTCTTTCTGGTCATGTCCACGCTGGACTCTCCCAGATGTCCCTGCCTCTGGCTGTGCGCTCCCTTTTATCGACAATAATCTTTCTCGTCCACCACACTAGGAGCAATCATATCCTCTGTTTTATTTCCTTTTTTCATTCAACTATGAAATTTGAGGAATAAAAACAAAATAGATCCCATCATGAAGAGAAAAGGAAAATGTCTCTGTGCCCGTTTCCTTCTTTTGCTTTATCAGTGAACTTCCAAAAGAGGAGATGCAGCCCATGCTGGTCCTTCCTCCATGCCACACTGTCTGCGGATTCAAGATCCACAGCATCTCACTTGCTCTCTCTGCACTATCAGCCAGCAGAAAGCTTTTCACCACACTGAGGTGGTCCAAACCTATCACACACAACTCAAATTTCAGAAACAGGGCTCTTTTTGAAGATCTTCTCAGGCAAATGAAAGGATAAAGCAAGATAAGAGTTGGAGCATTTGCTTAGGAAGTAAACTTGCTATCATATTCATATTAAGGCTTGACAAAGAAACAAGAAAGCCTAGGCAATACATTTTGATAAATAAGCATAATAACATTTATTTGACAGACCTTGAGGAGATAAAATTATTAATGAGTAAATGGGCTCTTTTGGAAAGGTCTTGGGAAAAAGGAAATCAGTTAGAATATAACAATATTTATAAATTTATTCAAAAATTTATTTCAAAAGATTCCCTCTTTGGTAGTAGATATTTCTGAATGCAACATAGTACTAAATATGATGATTTTGGTATTTTCTTCAATAAAAGCATATGAACTGAGAGAATGAAAGTGCTTTATTGACTGTTGATATGGGTAGGATTTTACACATGAATGCAGACACACAAATCCTGAAACTCGTTACTATTCTGCAATGACAGTAAACAGGCAATGCTTCTCTTACCATCAAGTGTTGTGTTCAGGACATGGGGAACTTAAATTCTGAATAATCAACATCAATAGAGTCGTCGTTTTGTTTATGAATGGCCAGTACAAAGTAACAAGTCAACTGAGTAAAGATAAACTGCTGTGACGCTGAAGAGACAGCTGAGTACCATTGCTTCACATCCCTTTTAAAAAATAAAACAAAATTGCCACTACTACTTCTGCAGCAAACTAGTAAAGAATGAATAATTTCATTGGCAATGGAGGAAGGATTCATAAACACAATAAAATATGATGAGGACAAGTGGAATTTTGCCGAACAAGAATCAAGAAAGTACACGCGCCCGAGCTACAGAATATTCCCAACAACAAATACAAGGTGAAGTGTGAATCAATGCAGGGATTATAAATTATCACATTGGCATCCATTTTTAATTATAATTAGTATACCAATTACTCAAAATACATTATCTTATGTGAATACCAAAACAACACCGAGGCATGATTTATATCGGTGTCATGGATTTTGCCTTAAAACTAGGCAAAATTGCTCTTTTCATGAATGAGTTGAAGTTACAGCAAACCTAGGTCAACTTTTCTCCTGATATTTTATTCTCATCACATTGTGACACTAACTCTTGTAAGCAGCGTAATAACCAGGCTAGCTTAATATGAAACAGCAAATTTTAATGAAGGGATAGCTTACAACACCAGGGATCCAGCAAAGAGCAGGAGATACAAAAAAGAAAGTGGTGGGGTTCACGCCCACCAGATTTATATGTAAACATTAGCCCGAGGTGAACAAGCCCCCTCAATGGGCTGGGCTATCCCTACAAACTCTGGAAAGTCATTTGAAAGGCAGATCAAAGAGGTCCTGGTATCTAAATGTGGGGCTGGGTTTAACTCAGTGGAAACACAGACAGCCAATGGCATTCATATGCCATGCAGTGACCTAGACTTGTTTGATGAGACGACCCTGGACAGTCTTCTAAATTCATTGTGATAGTTGGTGTGCCCTTGATACCTTAACACAGAGACAATTGCATGATTGGATTACTCAGGCAGACAGGCTGGTGATTATTTCTGAGGTGGTTGGGACCTGATAAGGCAACA